CAGTGGGTCCAACCTGCACAGTTGAAAATGCCTGGCAGGGACTTGGTAATTAAAAATATTCAGGAGGAGTTGTACTTTGCCCCAAAGAAGAAAAGACCTGCATAAATATTTAATAAAATTAAAGACAACATTGCTGTGTGCCCTCAAGGTTCTGTGCTTGTTCATTAACTTCTGGTAAATGTATATTAAAACCTAGCATGCTGCCCACCTTCCTTCTCATAAGCCCCAGGGTTTGCATAAGTTAAGGAAATAATCAAGTCCAGCTGCTGTGCTGTCTTTCTTAGGAAAGCTATCTTGACAGAGTAAATAAAGAAGCAGGAGGAGGGAAAAGAAAGATCAGCAAGTACTTTAATAACACTTCCAAATTCCTTCTGCCATTCCCTCTGCCACAAAAAGGCCAGGGTCTGCTTTTGGAAATGACTGCAAGGGTTGGCAGGAGTCACCCTTGATCTTGACTCATGGTGATTTGTTGAACTGGAGACTTGGATCATGAATTACGACCCTGAAATTTTGATCAGCCTTATAGCTAACAGCAGGAAACAGCACTGCAGCCATGAGGCAGAGAGAGGCAAGGGTGCTGTGACCAAATGGGAGGAAGCACAGACCTCACAGCTTGTGCTATAGGGCTCCTGCAGTCCTATCCTCACAGCTCTCAAAGGCAGGCATCATCACACCTAAGTAGCATGGGATGCTCCGAGACCAGAACCAGTCTCCAAACCTACTTACTGGGGAAGCAGAGGGCCTGTCTATTGGGACTTGCTGGTCAGTGTACTCACACAGCCCCAGCTGCTGACCTTCCTCCTTTCCCTGACACTCCACAGGACTTGCTCAGTTCAACATGAGAGACAGACCAGTCAGTGCTTTCAAGAAAACTGTCAGCTGTGAACCTAGCCACAAAAGCCAGAGTGGTCGTTTTCCTTTGAAAAGCAAACATTTCTTCTTGAAAGAGCATCAAGCAAAAGAGTAGGAGCTGTCCTCCCAGCCACAGATATCTACAGGGGGCATGTATCTCCTTGAACTCCCTGCCTTGAGCCACCTTCTAGTCAGCACAGAGAAAAGCCACTTCTCAGCACCTCCCCTTCTCATACTGACATGCCAAAGGTGGCAGATGAATCTAGAATACATGCTAGAATAACCTGTATCTTGCCACTAACTAACTAACTGTTTCACCCTTTAGAAGTCACAAGCCAAAGCAGATGAGTGCACCTTTCTCTCTGAAAATCACTTGTAAGATAATCAACCTGGGTGCCTCATTTCCAGCACTGCTAGTATTTTCCTCACACTGACTGCCCCACACCTTCTTACAGTCAGACCTGCCAGCCACCATCAAAAGTCACCCTTAAACTGAAGCAGTTTCTTCTGATTCTCCATCACCAGTTATACCAATTTTGCAATTAGAAGTCAGTTAACAATTCTGTTGGCAGCACAGGGTCTGAAACAAAAGCCAGCTTGCTGTCCTCTAATTGCATTTCCTCTGCAGGACTGACAAGGTTAACAGCAATATTCTCTCATGTAGGTGGGAGAGTTAAGCAAAAATGGTACTGAATGCATGCAATAAATCCATCAATTGATTGAAAAGGTGCATTCTGATGCAGACCTTTTTCAAAGCAGAACAGCCCTTAAGGCCAATTTAGCTACCACAGTTTTCCACTTATAGCTTGGAAAAGACAAACCTTACTGTGAAAGTAAAAAGCTGGTGAGGCACAAAGCAGCAAAAAAATCAAAGCAAATACATAAGCATCTCTGGAGATTGGTACTTGATTCACCCCAGAGGCATATGCTAATGCCAAGGGCAGATCCTGCAGAGCAAGATAGTTTGTCCTGCAATTCCCATGATGAGAACAAAGGGGAAAGATCTCATGAGTCAAGCTACAGAGTCTCAGATGCAATTTTGTCATTAGGAACAAATTAAACATCCATCCAGATAAGATGAAAATCTCTACTCTATATCCCTGAACCTCTCTTAGAGCCAAACTACTCTAATATTCAAGAAAACACTTTGGTCTGTATTTTTTTTTTTCATTTTGCTGCATTTCAGTATGTCCATGTTCTAAAACAGAACTGTGAGTCTCAGTTGGCCTAAATCCAAATAAATGTACAGAACTCATGCCTCACACTTCTTCAGAAAGTATTTGAAGGTAAGTGAAGTTTTCAGGAATCACACTGATACCAAGTCAGACACTGATCCTGATAACCTACTATAAAATGTTTTCTCAGCTGATCAGTTTTCAGGGTATTTTGAATTCCATTTAAATGACATTCTGAGCATTTAAGCTCAAACATCACAGATATTGACCATCTTAAATCTTTGAAATATTGCCTATTACAGGTTCCCTGTAGGAATTCTTTATGCAGACATCCTCACTTATGCATTTTCCCATCTCCTATCTCTGATTGTCAGGCAATACCAAGCAGTGTTTCATTCCCCCCCCCCCCCCCCCGTTTTATTTTTAAACTGCTTTTAAAGTGACCTTAAAGCAGTTTGAAAATTAAGGCCCCATTAAGTTAGAAACACAAATATTTATGCAAAACAAGTAGCTACATCTGACAAGGGTGAGCTGTATAGTCATGTCACAGAAGCCCTTTCAGAAATTTCTCAATAAAACATTGTTAAAAAAGCAACAAATTGTTCCCAGCAATTCAAAGGAATACTGATAAAAATGTCCATGTTTTGCTAGCCTGCACCCTAGGTATTCAATGACCTTGGATGTGAGGACAAAGAAATCCCCTCTTTCTCCTGAAAAGGTCATGCTTTGGACCAGAGCAGTCCTGGCTGTCACTCTTCTAGAATGACAGACAAAAAAACCTCAATCTATACTTGCAATTTTAAATTTTGAATTCCAGGCTAGGATTTCTCTAGGAGATTAACAAATCTCTCCCGCAGATGAAAGGATTGGGGTCATATCTGTGGTATTTGGTATAATCACAGCCACAAAGCAGAATGGAACCCAGTTTCTCTGCAAGGTTTTCTGTCTGTGTAGTGTTTTGGCCATTACAAGAGCACTAGAACACCCTGTGAATGTCCCCAGAGCCATATACTCACCACTCAAAGTCTCCTTGACCACAGACACATGGTTCAGACACCACAGTTTGGGAATAGTCCCGACCTAGGGAACACTGCGCTCCAGGCTTGCGTTTTTTATAGATCTTCCTCTCTCCCATGACACAAGGCTCCCCCTTCATTAGCCAGGGAACGAGAAGAGAAAGAGATTTGTAGTGGCAGCTGCATTCAAAATGGAGCATTTTGTCAAAAGACACAAAAGACAATGAAAACAAGCAATTACCAGTGGGAAAGTTAGGAGCCAAGAGTCTAGCTCCTTTTTGTGGCTTTGCAAAATCAAAAGTCACCTTGGGAGGACTCATGAGTGCAGTGTGTTCAGCACTGAGTTGGGCTGCTAATGACATTGTGCACAAAACAGATGGGTGCCCAAGCCATCTCACCCACTTATGCCATGTTTCAGAAGGCATCCAGCAATGTAGGTAGTCCTACGAATTATCCTGAAAAGACAATGGGGGTACACTCCAGGGTTTCTTCAATATGTCAGATAAAATCTACTGCAGAGGGAAGTGCCCAAGCCCGAAACTCAGGGCAGGGAACACATATCTAGGTGTGAAACACAGGACTTGGGACTCCCTTGCTCTTTCCTTGATAGAGCTGGCTTTGTTATAGCCCTCAGCTAATCCTGATGGTGTGTTTTGATGGGCCTTTTGAGTGCAAAGGTTTCCAAGAACACTACTGGGAGTAGCTAACCTAAAAGAAACATTTGATATTTAGGTGAGTTGCTATAAATAGAATTTTCTCTGATGCAGAAATATTTTCTCTGCATGGAAGTAAGAAAAAAATATTAACACCTAATTGAAACACTTCTGTTTCCCATTAACAGTGATTCCCAAAATGGCTGCATGATTACACGTGTCTTCCCTTTTCCTTCATTCAAATTGTTTTCATTTATACAGTTCTATGACTTCAGTTATCTGATATATCCTTGCCAAATCAACACCCACTTTTATTTCATGGATTTCATTTAGCAATGTCACAATGCCAATGGTTCTGGCTAGTTATGTTGCCCTGCAGGGTCTGGGACATCATACTGGTGACAAGTAACCCATAAGTAATCTGCAGAGGATATTGACCTCTCAGTTCTAGTTGCTTCAAGACCTAAATATATCCAGCATGAAAATAAACTAAAGTGTATGAAAAGCAAACCATGTATCCTTGCATAGAATGAAATAATCTGGTCTTCTCTGGTGTCTTGTATTCAAGAGCTCCCCAGAGTTTTACAGGCACCTGCAAGACCTGCAGGATGAATAAATGTTTTTATTTTCGAGTAGGGAAAATAGAGGCAAAGTGAAGCAAAATTATTTTCATGAGCTGCTGTCAGAGCTACAAAGAGTTCAATGTCTTCTGTGATTCAGTCGCAAGGTGAGGTTTTACATTGCCCTAAGCACTGATGCCAAAAAGATCCAGATGGTGCAGTGGAATATTTTCATAAAAATAGAAGTTAATAATCTCCTGAACTTGCCTATAGGAGACTGGTCCTGTGTTTATTCATGCATGTGCTTCAAGGGAAGTAAAACATCAACAGGTTGTAACTGTGACTTGGTGGCTGCAAAAAAATCCATATGCTCTGCTGAAAAGAACAACTGCATTCCTACGTGGCAACACAGAGCACAGGAAAAGGAACCCTGATCAGCCCCTCCCTACACAGTGGGAATACCTGATTGTGCAGATGCCAGGTTTGGTAGTCATCTTTGTTACACCTTCGGCTGAAGACAGACTTGTAATCGACCTTGACCAGCTGCCATTCAGAACGGAGACTGAAGTGCCCAAAAACTCTAAGCATGGGAGAGACAAAAAACAAAGAACCAGAGTCAGCCAGACATATGCTTCCATTAAACAAATAACTTCTCATGGATCTTGGCTGCAGTAAACAATACACAGTCTTGGAGCTTGATGCCAGAAATGGTATTGAATCATGAATAACATTTTCCTGTTTGTATAACATCCTAGGATTGTTTAGCCTTTTCTTGACACCTCACACAACTTGTGTTGGAAGGTCTTCCCATGATTCTAGTACCTAGCACGATGGGACCCAAGTCTAATACTTGCATTACTCAAGAACAATAAAGAACCAAACTAGAAAGGAATGTGTCTAACATCAAGGGAGTTACTCTGATGAATATATGGGTTCAGTTGTCTCAAATCAAGCCTCTCTCAGCTGACTCAGTTTCTTTGCTGTTGAACATTTGTGTTGCACAGACTTGTTACTTAATGAATTGTAAAAGAACCACCTGAAATAACATATTTAGGATAAGGATTGTATGCAAGTGACCTACAAACACAGTAGCATCCCTTCCACCTGGTGAATGCTGAATGCAGCTTGTAGGAGCAGTTATAAATGATCACCACTGTAACATTAGTAGTAGAGTTTTTTCCTAGCTCTTATGAGTAGTCACTCACCAACAGCAGTCACTAATCATACTCCATGGTTCATCTAAGTAATAAGGAATAAGCTGATTTTCAGGAGGAAAGTTACACATTTTCTCATGCAAATCCAGGACAACACAAGACTCGTATTGAGTAAGGCAGTACACAGGAGCAGTTGGAGCTGAAGCATCAGCACCCAAAAAATAGGGAAAGGACTCAGACTGCAATTTAAAACTGAGGCACAGATCTGTTACAAATGGGAGGATGAAAGAGATCATATAAAATTGAATAGCACCAGAGGTTTCTATACAAGGTTGGATCAGAACATAGGCATCTGAGCTGGTTGTTGAACACCAGTCTCTCTAAATGCTGTTCTAACTATTCAGCTCTCCTTCACAGGCAGGGAAAGTCATATGATTACTTAAGTGCCTGGAAGGGAGGGACCAAAGCAACAATGAGGAGTGATAGTACACATCACCAAAGTACCATCAGCACAAATACTAAGAGAGACTCTACATGTTGGAAGCTCACAGCTTCACCAAATCTAACAAAATCATAGGAAACCAGTAGCTTAATTAATAAATAACACTAGGTACCCAGACAAAAGATTCCGTTTTCATATGTGCTTCAGGATGCTCAGTTTTCAATCAAGTAACAGTTTGCTATTCCTTTGGCCAGCTGTGATTTCCTCAGTAACGAGGAACTTTTCAATCAACTGCAGCTGGATTTACAAAGAGGTGTATAATAGGAGGAGATTAGGATGGGTGATCAGATTTTAAAAGCCATGAACAAAACTACAGCTTCTCATTGGCAAGAGGGACATCTCAGCACACATAAACTACTAAAAAAAGACAAAGATCAATTTGATTTGTCATTATAACATGCCAAGCTTTTGGCTATTTTGAGTATATAAAAGAACCTAAAACTTCATCTAAAATAGGAGCTCCAGATTTTAATTCTCTATGTACCAAAACCCAAGTCTTTCGTGACACGCATGAAATGGCATTGCATCACCCTTATTGCAAGCCTTTAGAGGGAAGAGACTTTTTTCCCATTATTCCAAATCTTTCACGAGTCTACATTTTTATCCAAGCCACTTATGAGATTAAAGTTTTTGCTGTTTTAATTATTCCAGACTAACAAAGAAGGAAGGAGGAAGACAGAAGATTTACAAATTTCCCTATGAAATCAAAAGAGAAAGAGAAGACTTCCGCACACTGACTGCAATTCAGATCCTGCTGTGTCCCCAGTGGACTGCCATTCTTTACTCTAGTTGATCTTGGTTTACACTGTAATCATGCAGGGATGTTGGCTTTGCTCTCCCCTCACTCCTTCTGTAGACTGTAGCCTGCATAAAAATTCCTCTGCATTGTGCTGTTTTTTGTGAAACAAAGATGACCCAGGAATCAGTCATATTCACCCATTGAGACCTATCTCAGCTCACAGATCGCAGGGAAGAAAGGTGGATGGATGAGATCTGAGAGCCTGGAGTTGTGGGTTTGGTGTGGACACCTGTCTGTATCTAAGTTCTGTCTTACAAAGGCAAGCTCCACAAAGCTGACAAGGGGGAGAGGATACAAGAAACCTGTGCCAAATGCATAGTCAGGTTAGAAATGAGTAGGTGAGGAAGGACTAGTATGGTAGAGAGGATTTATTGGGTAGATTGTTGCTGTGTCTCCAGAAAGTTAGTGTAGTCCTAATTGTGGGGTATTAGCAATAGGCAACACCATGGTATTCAAGCAGAGCCACAGCAGAAGCTTCAAATCCTGTCCTCAGCATCATGGTTTATGAGTGATATTCTCCAATTTAGCATTCCCACTGAAACCCCTCAGACCACACACTGCTCACTTACTCCCACACCTCCTCCCTCTGTGGTGGGATGGACAGAATTGAAGGCACCAAAGGAAAAGAACATGAGTTGAGATAAGAATAATTTACTAAAAACCAGCAATGAAGTACTAAAATGAACAGTAACAACAACTATATTAATAACAGAGTGTACAAGACAGGCAAACGACTCACACAGGATTGCTCATCACGCAGAACCCAGTGCTGCCTGTCCACACACATTGTGCACCAGCCAAACTGGAGCCAGAAAAAAAGGGTAACCCTAACTCCCCTTCACCCCCTCCATGTGTCATGAGGTGGTATAGAATAACACCAGGGTCCTGGTGTGCCCCTCCTGGCTGCTGCAAAAGTTAAACTTGTGCTGGCCAGAACCAGGACTCTCAGCACAGGAGGCACATCCTGATGAAAATCATCCCATGGAAACCAAAGCAGTATGGGGTGCTAGGGCACTTGTTGGGCAAAGGAAGGAGTGTGAAATAGCATAGAGGAGGGATACAGAAGGCCTCCAAAACTGTACTCCAGTAGGAGTTCTAACTGCAGTTCTCCCCCCAATTTTCCTTGGCACAGGGTAAGTCCCATCTGCTCTTATGCCACAGCTGCTTTCAGCACATACAATCTTGTTTGTTCTGGGTGTGATGCATGACTGAAATGTCATTTCTGCAAAGCAGCAATGCAGCAGGCAGAAATCATTTAGTCCAGCAGATTTATACCAATTTAGGATTTGACCCAGGTGTTTATTACACAGAAAACATAGCAAAAGGAGGAGAGAACATAATAAAACACAAACACTTGCCTGAACCCAGAAAATAACAGGGCTGGAGAAATGAACACTTTGGCAGTCAATGCATCTCAAGGAAAATGTTGTTCCTCAGACTGACCCTTAGCTACCTGTCCATTAGGAGAGCAAAAGGTTTCTTGGTGCTTTATAAAAATTGCCCGAATTACTTGATTTTTAAATCTATTAAAATAAGCTAAAAAAACCCCAACCCTTCTGACATTGAAATTGTGCCATGATAATGGTAATGAAAAAAACAAAGTTTCCTAAGTAGAAGGCAATATATTAGCATTCTAAAAGCAGAGAGCATTAGCTACTCTTTAATTAAATGATTTCAAAGAAGATCTTAGTATATAATTGCTACAATTTACATGGAAACAATAGTACACTATATGTAATTAGAGGAGTGTGAACAGAGAGGGATGTTTTCCTCTGTGCTGCAGAGATGGTTCTGGGTCACCTGATTCCGAAAGTAGTGACTTCCCCACCCTCCCCTTGCTAATAAAAAAAGCTTCTTAAGGCTAATCAACCATTGTGCTGCAAGATTCAGAGGTAAGAAGTGCAGAGAAGTCAGCAAGCACCTGCACCCTGTGAGCTCTGCTCACCAATACTAAATGCCACCCAGACACCTACCCACAGCACTGGGTGACTGAGCAGCCAACACAATGAAGGTCATGTCAGAGTTCAGGATGATTCTGTTGTGCATTTGAAACTTCTATGAGAGTAAGCAAACATAAGGAATGGAAAAGAGTGCTAAGTTATCTGTGGGGCTCCACTGATCTCCCAAACAGCTTTCCTTGGGAGGTGATGAAAACCTTTATTTTTGTGAAATTATAAATGGGCTAAACAAACCGTAACAAACAAACCCTGACTGAGCAAAACCAAGTATTGCAGCTGAGCTCTGCTTTCATCAGTTTTGTGAACTACATCAGTGGAGATTTTCCATAATGACTAAGGTGCATGCACACAACCTCTTCCTGTCATACCTCTTCTGGGGTGACCAAGTCCAGCAGAGGGTTGGGCAGACAGCAAGAGCTGCAACATTTATAAACTGCTAGTGTTTAGCACTACACGCCCCCATTCATACATAACAGCTCCTGTATCCACTGTAAATAGATAAAACAAGTCCCAAGGAAAAAAATGCAAAAAGAAATTGGTAGGAGTTTATTTTTCCCTGCTCAACTGGTGAATCCTCACATTGTTATAAAGAGACAATCTCATTTATCTTTTGTTCTCATTTATTTCATCACTAAATTAGGGAGGTGGATTTTTAAAATAAACATAGCTAAACTATCAAGATGATACAGGGGAAAAGGAAATAAAGTACTGTGAATTTTGCCTTAATAACTTTGTCTACGATGGTCTAACTGAAAGGTCTTCATTGCTTGTTGAAAGGACAGAAGACAAAAGAAGAGAGCAGGGCTTTCAAGGTCCAGCTCTAGGAAGCCAACAAAAAAGGTATATTTGGATTTTTCCATATAAGCAGTCTGATGTGGAAGTCCTTGAGAAGCAATAAATACAAGAGCCCAGATGGCATTTAGACAGAGTCAGTTTTCTGACTAAGCTCAATTTAACAAAGATTCTCCAATCTAAGACATGGAAAGGTAATCTACAGGCTTTAGACTGGATAGATTTTGTTCTATCCCTCTGAGTAAGCAGTTAAAACTCCATATAAAATCTTAGCTAATAGGACAGCATCTTTTCAACTGGCTCTATGCATAGCTCACAATGAAATCATTGCTAGGAAACCAGAAAATGCTCCCAACCCCTGCGTTGGAGAAACAA